AAATACTGCTTAGAGGACACAGATTAAATTATTGATGAAATGCTCATTATGTGAGTTCTAGAATTCCTGGGGTCCACAGAGGAGCGCAGATAGGGGACAGCAAGTGGCTCCTGAGGAAGCCAGTCCCTCTTTCAAGGCCCTGAATTGCTCATTTGTGGCTATGACATTACAATAAATGCCATTTGCCCCTCATAAGACTTCTATTTCCTTCTTCACCCAATCTCTGTTGTTCACACAGAAGAAATTCAAAGGCTCTGTCTCTTAATCCCTTTTAACTCTGACAACAATACCAAACCTGACCCTGAGACCCTTACCTTCTCACTCTCTCAAGGCATTTGAGAAACCACCTAACTTTATGACTGAAATTAATGTTTTCATTTAACTGCAAACGCTTGAGCTCAATACACATACCAGCAGAGTGAGCACAAGCCCCTTTCCGCTCCTTCAGCCAGGTAATATGCTTTTTCCTCTTTTCTTTTTTTTTTTTCCTTTTTTTCATCAGGCCTTTAATGCAGAGCAGGGCTACTGATTACAAAGAGGCAGTTTGACTCCAGCAATAGGTCTTCTTCACTAATCCTCACTGTCATGGAAATTCCAGCTGCTACAAGAATAAGAGGCTCAATCCATATTTGCCAGCTCTAATATGAAATCTGTCAGAGCCCAAATTAATGAGTTCCAAATTCCTTACATCACGATAACAGGTTAAGACTGGTCAATTAATTACATAAATCCTTCCCGATTCATTGTGCGTTTGCAGCCCAGATTGTGTCTTACATTACTCCATGACACAAGGCCTTTTGGCTCCTGTTGTTCCACAGAAAGGCCCCATTTAAGTGGAGGCTGCCTGCCACGGCAAAATGTTAAATGTCACACGTTAAATTTGCACTTTTCTGTAATTGCTTTTGTTAAAAAAAAAAAAATTTAAATTAAAGCACAGGGCTCCCAGTACACCACTATGCAAAGGGCTGAAATTGTACTGAATGGAACTCAGCACAGGCAAGTCCCTTCCCTCTAACAGTTTGCACCGACCGCTCTGTACGTGGTGCCCATTAAGAGGCGGACCCCAGAATGAGCATGTTTGTGAAAATAAACCAGTTTCCCTTTAGCAGCCAAAATATTCAAAGGATTCTTTCCTTTTCGGAAAGAATAAAATGCGTTTCATTACATAGCCAGCTTCCCTTTTGTTTACCAGGAAAAGTATTAGATATTTAAGACACTGCTGCTCTAATCACATTTTCAGTAACATATATTGTTCAAATGTGTGTGTGTGCGTGTGTGTGTGTGTGTGTGTGTTACACTTGTGCAGGTCTTTGCCTTCCAAAAGGATGTTGCTAATGGTTTTGCTTTTTGAATGTGTAACTGGTACCCACCTACAGAGGAAGTCTTCAGGATTAAGAGCTCAAAGGACTTCAATAATCACCCAGGCCAAAGCTCTTCCCTTTTGAAACATCACAATGCGCCTGGAATCACAGCTAGTGGCAATTATTGTGACCTAGAACTACAAACTCCCAGACTCCTAGAGCAATCTCACGTCACCCCAATACATTTCCTTGTAGAACGGCCTTTCTACGTGCTTGGGCGCTCTGCATGGGATGGAACCAGTTCCACTGTGCTTCCTTCATCATCTCATTGCAGGCTGGGGCTTCTGCGAATACACGAGCCAGTAGATGATGCTCCGAAGCACAGACTGAAATCTCGGTAGGGAGTAGGTCCTTTCCTCTTGGAAGCCTACCCCACTGCACCACGCAGACGCTAGCCAGACCCTGGGCGGCTTGTTCTCCGCCGCGCTGGCCCGGCAGCGCCCTCCTCTGTCCTCCTGTCGCCTTGCACCCTCTGCCTCCGACCGCACGCCTGTTTCCCAGGGCAAAGAAAGCTCGTCTCCGGGCCCCCAGCTTAATGCGGTGGGGGACTGGTCTCTCCCTGCACGCCCCCGCAACACACACACACACACACACACACACACACACACACACACACACACAGTGGGGGACTGGTCTCTCCCTGCAAGCCCCCACCAAACACACACACACACACACACACCCACCCACCCACCCCCGACCCAGGGCTGTTTCTAGGCCGAGAGGCACGAGCAACGCTGTCCCGCCACCGGGCGCGACTGTGCCCTCCGTCTCCAGAAGGGAGTGGGTGGGTTAAAGCAACGGCAAGTCCGCCCTCCAGGTTTTAGGATCCTGGGAAGGCTATGAGGGAAAAGGGTTAACTAATGTGCACAGAGCGTATGCACATAAAACACTTGGGACCGGTGGGTTTCGCCCAGCCCGGCCGCCACTCCGGGGCACGCGCGAGGACCCGCCAAGGCCTCAGCCACACCCAGGCCCAGGCTGCGGGGCCGGGGTCGAAGCGCCGAGCCGGCGTCTGCAGAACAAAGACTTGGGTCCAGCCCTGTATGGGAGAGGCCGCCGCTGCCGCCTCCCCGCGGCTCCCGCCGGGCCGACCCTGACCGCGCCGTCCTGGAAACCCACCCGGGCGGCGGGGTCCGGCTCCACGCTCGCTCACAAACCCAGCCAGGGCCCTGGAAATGATGCACTGGCAGCCCCGAGGGTCATCGGTATTCCAAGCTCCCTCCCACACCAAACCCGCCACCCCAGGCCCCTCTGTATTATCTTTTATGATTTTCAAGCAGCCAGAGTTGTCATCCTAACGCTGGGAAGGGGACCTCGCGGGCCCCCGTTTTGAAGCAGGTGGGGCAGGGGAGAGGGCGCTGCAGGCTGAGCTGTAAATCGCTGCCTTTTTGCGGTTGTTTTTTCCACTCACCGCCCGCCGCCCCCCTCCACCCCGGTTTTTTTCTTTCCTTTCTTTCTTTCCGCAGCGCAGTTGCTATGGGTTACCAGGGCGGTTGCCATGGGTTACCGGACCGAGGCCGACTGGCTCGCTACCTGCCACCCAGTCGCCTCCGCTGCGGTCGGCAGAGCGGCCGGGGTGGGAGGAGGCGGGAGCGCGCGTGTGCGGGACGCGGCGCGGGGAGTGCGCGCGAGCGGCGGAGGCGCCGCAGCCAACAGGCGGCCGAGGGGGCAGCCGCGGGAGCTGCCACCGTCAGTGGGGTGGGGGGCAAAGCTATAAAGAAGGCCCAGAGGTAAGAAACTAGCAAACACACAACCTCAAGTTATACCCGTGCTGTGCCTCTAGCAGCAAAGACAAGCGGTGTGGGGTTTTGGATGAATCTACACTTCTCGTCGGGGGAGAAAGGGTATTTTCCTCTTTAGCATAAGTCATTTGCATAGTGTCTTTAGACCAGAGTTTAAATTCAGCAGAAAATTGTAGCTTATTTATTTCTCTTTTCCTCTCTATCTTTTGAAAAGAAGTCTTTGGAATTTTGGAGAAAAAGAAAAGGGTCATTAACTACGAGAGTTTTTGCAGCTAAAATAAATTAGTGCCCAATGCTCTGTTCCTAACAATGATCTAGAAAACTTTCCAGCAAGAGTGAAGAGCAATTGTGTCTGACTTAAACGGACAATGGTGACTGGTTTTGTGACATGCATATGGCAAAGAATAGAGCCAAAATCCTTTGTAAATATTTCAATTTTTAAAGAAGTTGCTGCTTATTTACATCCTTCTAAAATTTTTGGACTCCACTCTATTAAAATGTATTAATTTCTTATTACCTTTATTTGCAAAGAAAATTGTATCTTATGCTTTGAATGTCAAATTGCAATAACTAATTTCATACAGCATTTTGTCTTTGAAAATGTGTTTTTATATATTATAATAAAGTAGCAAATGATCTGTATCCCAAACAAAAGCAGAAAATTGTATTGAAATGGTTTCCTCCATTGAAAAGATGCTGCATTGTATTCATAGGATACCACCTAAGTAATTGAAATATTGAGAGGAATATTATTTAGAAACAGAATAAGCTTTTGTTCTGTTATTTTTTGTCTTAAAATTTTAGAGGCCTTTTGTGCAATGGGATGTTCCTTTACAGCTGAAATACAGAAAACCTTACTTGTACCACAGTAGCTCAATAATGATGAATCCTTAAAACAGCAAAAAAGTATATATATATATATATATATATATATATATATATACATACACACACACACACACACATATAAATATAAATTGAGTTCAAAACAACAGTCAATTTACTGTTGGATACAATTGTCACTGTGGCAAGGCTAAATGAACTTATTTAAATTCTTAATGGCCATAAGAGAGATTTTAAGGTTATTGCATATCACTTGTTTGTATTTAATTATTCAATAAAATGTGAACTGGGCTTGAAAAGCTCCTGCATGATGTTTAATATCTTAATAGACATAACTACTTAAAGGTAAACATTTCTGTTTTTCTTAGTAATTTTTAAAACTTGAAATTTCAACTGGAATTTAAATCCCTTTCTCCCAAGTGAGACTTTAAAAGAAGTCCTAAGTAACAGGTTGTTGACGTTCATTGTTGACACCTTTGGGTTCTATATAAAACCCGCTCCCAAACAAAACACATACACCTCCTTTATAGGTGAATAGTTTACCCCTTCAGAATTTTTAGCCAGGGAAATTACTGCTTTATGTACATAAATGATAAAACACCCTGGATTAGAATTCTTTACATTTAATTTACATACAAAATAGCTTTAAATAAATATCCATTCTATTTAGTTTAACTAATTAAGTAATTAGTTAAACTAAAGAAAGCTTTATAAAACTATGCCAAAGAAAAATAAGAGACTTGAACAAAGCCAGAGAGCTACTGGGGGCTGAAGTTCATCTAAGTATCTCAGCTGCTGGATATCAGCTTTAACAGTGCTTCGATATCAAAACGACCAAACGAAGGCTAAAAGCCTCAAATGTCTGCAACCAGAGTGAATATGAAATCAAGTTTTATCCAACTTCTTCATTAAAAATTACTGATCATTCAAAAACACACTGAATTTAGGTCTAAGTCAGAAGAAGGACATTCTCACATGAAATAAGTGATCCAACAAACTAAAGTTGATTTTTTTTTTCATGTTTAATGTGAAAATGGTGAACTTATGAGGTTTACAACACCACAGTATTAGGCATTACTTTATATCCATTTTGATGACTGTTACAGCATCTAAAAGTAATATGACAATTGGTGGCATATATTACATGCTTTTCAAAACTGCTAAAAAACAGAAATAACATGAATTCAAATACATATCTCCAAAGAGCTGGGAATCGTTCCTAAATGACAGGACAGTAAACTTTACATTTTGGCAAAATAAAAAGAATTTGCTAACCTTTTTTTCTGTATTAAAATAATGAGTGATAGATGACAAAGTAACAACATTCAATACATTAAATCAGAATATTTACAACAGTTCAGTAATGTTTTAGACCAAAATAAGAACCAAAAGTGACAAATTACAGAAATCATTCTTATTCTAATTTAATTTTTTTCTATTTCTTCTTAGTTACAGACATCTCAAAGACTTTTTAATGATACCATAACTTTTAAACTCCTAAATAAAATGAGGTGGAGTAACATTTCATTATAGCAACAAGTTACCCCAGTTACGTAAAATTATACTCCTGTGAGTTTCGGAGACATTTGGCACCATTCAACGGGGAAGAAACTTGGATAATTATCTCAAGAAAAAGTTGCTTCATCCGAAATTTGAAATTCAATATCACTTAAGACATTTTCACTTTGGTCCATGGAAAAAAATTTTTTACTAAATTATACCAATTCTCTGGCAGATACCTAAAAAGAAAAGGCTTTTAAAAAATGAATAATTATTTCTGAAATTGAGAAGTTGATATCCTTTTCTAAATTATGGTAATACTTATTGGTAAAATTAAATATATTAATTTGTATAAGATACTACTTCTAATTTAAAGATAAGTAACAAGTAACCACCACTGACAAAGTTATCTAGTGATAAGAAATTGCACATTTCATCAGAAATCAAATCTTTAACCTGTAATTCTAATTACACAATGATAATGAAAACAAATTATTTGTTTCCAGGAACTGTATGTTAAAGCTGACTTTGGACAATGAAACTGTATTTCTGAATCTACATATTGCAAAGATAAGCAAAATTACTAGCGCTATTTCTGTTTTGTCTAAAATGTAAACATTATTTTAACATGTTTTTATTCCTAAAACTCCTTTCCCATCTAAGTGTGAAATAGAATACTGGAAAGGTTAAATGCTCTTAAAGTATTTCGACCAAACACCCAAAAGCAAAGTGTCTTCCCAGTGCGGGGGAGGTGTCCCCCAAATATTAGCCACATGTCTGAATGAGGCGGTCTGATCCGGGCTGTCCGTCTTCATAGTGGCTAAGCTGTGTTTACGGTAACACTGCCCCATTGATACAAGAAGGAATCCTCTGTCTGGGTTTTAAATGCTATCTAGTTACCTATCTTTTCAAAGTCAATAAAACCAACTAGGTTTTGTGTTGTTGTTTTTTTTTTTTAATGTATAACTCATTTCATTTGAGGGCAGGATCTCGTTTTACCGATAATGTTTGCCTCTAAAAGAGAGTGTTGCGATCGCAGGCTTTTAGCTTTTTACGGAAGCTTAGCCAAAATAAGACAACATAAAAACAGCACTAATAAACAACCCAACGTCTTGAAGAATTTAAATACCTTATATCATGACAGTGAGCTTTAGGTAAGAATATATCATCAGCGAGCTTTCTTCTCTATGACTGGACATAATTTGCTATTCCTAAGATGGTCACATTAGAATTCTTTTTCAGGATTCCTGCGGAGCTGCGCTCATTTTACACCCACGTGAACTCCTGTCATCGCTACTGTGTCCAAACCCGGAGGATGAACTAGAAAAGGAGAGAGGGGGAAAATAATAAAAAGAGGAAATTGGTTTTCACAACACACTCAAAGCCTGAGTAACAGAGGAGAACTTTAATTATCTCCAGTCACAAAGAGAGACAGGAAATTTGGACTTTTAATTAGCCATTTGGAGTGCAGTTGGATATTTTTTTAGCTAGATAATTTAAACGCGAATAATTCAAGTCTGACTAAATGAAAGTCACATAATCAGAATGCAGATAATTGAATTTCTACTGCATTCATTAATTCAGTGTGGAGGTGTGTGTGAAGACTACTATGATGAGCTGTCACAACTCAATAAAATCTCAGTCAATTAATTTTTTCATTATCTTAGTATAACATCAACAAAAAAGTGAAGTGTGCGGAGCTATCCATACACAGGCATATGTGTACTATGTGTTATATAAATACATATACATTACATCGAAATGCAAGGAAATACCTTTCTGAATCATAATCTATATCGTGTTCTTTTTTTCCTTCTTCATCTTCGGCAGGGAAACGTCTGTTCATCAAGGCAAACTTGTGAATCGCTTCCTCTACAGAGTATTTAGTCTGCCCAGAAACGCACGCCTCGATGTCTTCTGAATTCAGATGGCTTTGCAAGAAGAGGTGAAGTCTGCTGTCTGAAAGCAGAAGTGCATTGTGTAGGACCCTAGATAAGGGGGAAAAATGAGAAATATCAGTGAACAGGGATGGACAACTATAGGGCAAGAGAGGGAGAAACATTAGAAATGTGCCACCGAAGCCATTTCTCAACTCCAGCAAACTCTGCGTCCATTATGGAATCTGCCTATTAAAGGGATGAAAGCATATGTTAACTTTTATTCAATTATTTGGAAATTTAGGTGAGTAAAAACATGAAGCTAATAGTTAAGAACATCTGTTAAAAGAATAACTTCAAGGACATTTCTTCAATTTAACCATCTGTTATGGCCATGTGGATTAATTATGGAAATATTTTGCTTATGTAGTCATAGAAATTTATTCTACTTAAAAAAAATTTACTGCCAACCAGCATGTCAATTCTGTGATCTTTATGGGCTAGGCTGTCAGGAAACATCAAAACTTTCAACTACTATTAAAAGTTCTATTAAAAAGTCATCTCTTTATGGGGAAAAAAAGACTTTACAACTCTGCTTGTACAAGTTTACAAGGGCTTGGTGGAGAGGTGGCTTTTTTTTTTTTTTTTTTTTTTGAACACCTAGGTTTGACTGGAAATTTCTCCAAAAGCTTCAGGGGTACAAAGAGAGTACAGATTTCAACTAGTGCCTCAGAGCTACAGGGAGGAATAAAAACTAACCTGTAGCAAAATCTACACATGCTCAAGTTCATATTATCAGTGTGTTTTTTCTGACAAAGCATTCCCTTATATTGAAATAAAAACTTTTTATCTTTTTAGCAAAAGACTTTTAGGTATGATCATTTTGTCTCCCTCAATAATGATATAGTGACAAGATACTAAAGCCAGTTGTAGGATACAAAACTAAAATACTAAAACCCAAGTATAATTTTGCCCAACATGGGATTTTTCATATAGAGATCTATGAAAAATAGGTTATATATTTAAGACTACATGGGCCTTACTTGATACTCCACATTTTTAAACAAGTAACCAGGGCAGTACATATCTTTTGATCATTTGTATTTAATTTATCTAAAATCCAAGGTCATTAGAATATTTCCTTCCCATCAAAATGAAACATTTATTTTTTCAAGAAGGCAAACATCTAAAACAGCACAGTATTCACACCAAAATCTAGCTGTCCTGTTGGCTGCAATAGGCTTACAAATGTAGTTTAAGAAAATATTCTCTCCTGGCCTACAAAAAGAAAAAGTAGTACTTTGTGCTTTTTAAAAGGCAGTTTCAAGCAAAGCAGCTAAATACTTCCTCTCCATCCATGTCGTCGGCCCTGAAGTTGGATTCTCCCAGAAGATGACCATAATCACATGATTAAGAGTAGTTTCCCAAATACAAGTAGTAAAGCAGCAAATTCCTCTTCCTACTCTTTGAGATTTATTTTATACATTTACAAATGTTTACCACTCTTGTTTTAAATACTCCAAATCAAGAGGAGATTTATAAGGCAATGACCCATTAATATTAACTTGCATTCCCTGTGAAGTCTGAACAGAGTGTTTCCTGCCAGCTATGCTACAAGTAACTGTTCATAGGATTATACTTACTGCTTTGTTTCTGGTGGAAATGTGTTTTATTTTCTTTATAAAATAATGGGTAATCTTTAAAATTGATTTTAGATGGTTCAAGGCATTACACCACAAAAGTAATGAGCACTAATGCCAATGATATTGGACACAAATTCATTTTAGCTTTATTTCATGTCTAAAGCAATTCTACTGAGCCTTGAACTGCTCACGCACTGTTATTAACTTGCTAGTAACCTAACACATGGGTACAGCAAACAAAAGTGATCAGAGCCCAGGTTGATCGGGACCTCAAGGCTACTGTCTTTTTTCTTGAGCTATAATTCAATTTCCAATTTTACTGTACATTGGACTCATTTCCCAGTGTTTTCTTTTCTGCGTAATACTGCCACCTGGAGGACACACGGGTGAAAAGCAAGAGGGAGCTGGGCGCACCCAGCCCTCAGTTCTGAAGTGGGAGAAAGATGTTGCGGGGGAGGGCACCTCTGACCACCCACGCAGGCCACAAGTTCAAAAACAGTACATCTGCTATGCACACTTCTGGGTTTTTCGATTCTTCCAGTCTGGCTGGCTACATTTATGCCACTGTGCTCCACGGGTATGAGTTTTAAATAAACAAAAATAATTTTTAATATATTTAAGGTTTTTATTTTCACGCAGATATTTCTTTCCGAAATTAAGAATATAAAATTTTGAGAGTGATTTCCCTCCTGCTTCGGTGAGCATAACTAGTTCATTTAAAGTTCTATCTGCCTGAATACATATCAGAGAGTTGTTGTGTCTGCATCGCCACAATATTAAATCTTTTTACCCTAGTCGTATTTGTGCCACAGTTTCCACAAACAAATCGAATAGCAGTAAATCAACTTCAAACTTAATATAAAGAGTACTTTGTAAAACAGTCAATAAAATGTCATCATTATAAACCTCCATAAAAATAAAGGTATACTATTCTCAAGCCTTTATAAAAGGAACAAAAAAATAGCCTCTAGAATTTTCAAGGAATTTGTGAAAAGCTATTTAAAACATGAGTCAAAAGTTATTCCTTTTCCCATAACAACTTTCAACTAAACAAAGCAAAACCTGTTTTCCCTTGAATTGGATGCAGTTGAAAATCTGGTTCCCCTCAACATGATTTTATTAGGTGTATTATATATGGGTTCAGTTGAGAACAATATATAGCTATGCAAAAACATTTAATCCTAACTAAGGACGCCCTGGGTCTGCTGAACCCAACAGAATAACATATATACCCATTTGTAGCGCATATGGAAGGTTAGCAGTTTGATGTGGGGAAAACAAATTTAATTCAGCCTGTTTACCTCTTAACCATGAGAAAAAATACAGCCTACAAATCTTCACTGAAGACATTCATGAACTGTGCTGTGGTGCCCTCTATTGAACACAAAGACATAAAAACTGTGTGTGTGTAAAACTGTAGTGTTTCTATGGCACCCTTTTGTAAAAAACTATAGTATTCCTTAGTTTCAAAGAAATACAAAACTGTAATACAAAAGCCTACATTGTAGGGTGCACAAAGTTATATTAATGGGATGAACTCAGTAAAGGAGAGCTGGGTCCCATTCATGATTATCAATCAAATGTAAAAATTTAGTAGGAAAGCCATTTTCACGGTAGAGTCTATCAGCAGAGTTTATCACTTTAGTCTGTAACTTTCTTTTTCCATAGCTACGAGAAGTGGCATACAATTTATAGTTATACAAAGGAGAAAAATTCAAAAGGGAGATTATAGCCAAGATTGAGGGAAAAATGAATATATCTGGAAAAAAATCTCACAATCATACTGATCAAATTTAACTTGCATTTAAGAGTTCTGCTAAACTGTAAACTTGCCATTTCCTGGGATTAATACAGTGCCTCTACCTTTCCTATAATTTCCTTGTCTATAAAATTGAAATCATACCCAACTCCTAATATTATTGTAGATACGGAGATAAAAATGTGTAAAAAAACTGTACATATAGCAGGTGTTCAATAAATGGTATAAATTCTTCTTTTGGCACCTAGTGAAAGAAACAACTTTCTATTCCTCTATGAAAATTGGCCCAGATATGTACTTTGCTATTAAATATATGTTATTTCACAAATGACTAAAATGAAAAGAAAAAAAAAAAACCCCGTTATGTTATATACACACATATGTCCAGAATCAGTCAACTTCAAAACTTACACAAAAACCAGATTTTTTAAACACATGCTAAAAATCTATCATACAAGTATATTTCGTATTTAATGATGTGGAGTCTTCCCTTTCAAGTGCCTAAAGTGCTCTTCGGACAAAGAAGGTATAGGCTATTGATGGGCCTCACTTAAAAGGGAACCAATGGGACCTCGGAGGATGTCAAGCTGGGGACGGGATGCAATGCCAAGATGGCCAAGCTGTATGCCGCATCCAGTTTCCCAAAGTGCGCTTGGGCTGCGAGACACCAGGGGCGCCAAAGGCATGGAAGGCTGTCACTGCTACACACACGGGACAAACAACAGGAGAGCTATGCCTTAGAATCTGAGGACCACAGGAGGGTGGGGAGGGTCAGGAGAGGCCACAGTATCCCAGTCACTTAAGTCAGGCCTGAACCCAACCGCATGGTATTGGACCCCTTGCTTCCTTCAGATTCAAAACACACGGAAGCGCCATCAGCCTGGAGACTGTTATCCACACAGCACAGCTGAACGAACATCACAAGAGAACTCAGTGTCTGTTCTACAATTTTACTTCCGGTTGGTAATCCAGATCCAATGTTAATGAATCTGGCCATCCCCAATACACATTCAGTGCGTCCCCATTCGACCAGAAGCCTCAAAAGGATAAGGATTTGTGTGCCCATTTTGTGCAGTCCTGTATCCTCAGTACCCAACCCAGCCCAATGCAGTCACCTAACAAACAGTTTTTCTTCCGATGCATCACTTGAACGACACAACCCCCGACTGAGGTCGGCACTGTATGCGTAACAGCATCACACTCTTCATAGCAAACCAAGGCTCAGAGGAGTTCAGTGGCTTGTCCATGGTCCTACAGCCACAAAACAATCAGGAGCCAAGGCTCATGAGAGACCTGGAGCCCAGCTCCTCAAGCTCCTGACCCAAGACACTTTTCACTATGACGTCTGCATCCAAGTCAGCAGGCAACCGCACGGCACAGCTCGCAAAAATAACCGAGTGCGAGCATAGCTGCACCACGGCAAATGACGCCCACTCCAGTCATTAATTTGGTAGGATCAACTGTGAAGGGAAAGGTCATGTTCAAAACAGTGAAGTGATTCCTGGTTTAAAACAAAACAAAACCCACATGTCCTGCGATTAACTAGCAGCACAGAGACACATGCTGTCCTTTGACCTCATATAAGGAGGCCTCTCTGCAGAAGACAAGCAGCTCCCCAGGCTGATGGGGACTGTGGGATTTGGCTGTCCCTGCGCAGGCCCCACTGGCAATGCCCCGAGAAGCATCTGGAGCGACAAGCCACTCTGCAAACGTGGACTGCAGGGACCACATCTTAAGGGGGAGGCCATCAGCCACCTGGGTCTCATACAAACAACAATTAAAATCGGAGCTGTCCCTAAACGGAAAGGGCAGAAATAACTTGATCAGATCTTTGTTCTGTCAAGCATGTGAGACTCAAAAGAACCCCGCTGTAATGTGTTCCCAGGACTCGGCCCAGTCACTTGGTCTTCTAGTCTCATGTCATTTTTACTTCTCTGGCTTCTTATTCTTTTCCAGGCCTCCCTCAATTTATTACCTTGGGTGTTCCTGTATGTCTCCATGACCTCTTCAAAGGAAAAGCAGTCTATCAATCTAATACTACTAAATCGATGTGCATACTTAATAACTGAACTCTTTATGAATGAGCCACATGGAGAGAAAGCAGTACAAGAGAGGGGACCCAAAAAAAAACCAGGAATTACCTTCTGGAGGGTGGTCCCTTTGTAGTACAGGCTTCTCCCGCTAGGTGAGTGTTCTAGGAACCCATTTGTATCAGTGTACCAGCAGGCGTTGGTGTGAGAGGCTCCGTTTGTCTTTAGTGACATTTTTTTTTCTGAAGACTTTTTCAGTGCCTTTGCCCATTTCATGATGGGTGATTTATGAGCATACCTGCCTGCACCCTGCTAAGTGTTCAGTTTTTGACCAAAAATGACATGACCCCCTAAGCTCCATCCTCCCTACTCACCCAGTCTTGCCCTGAGTGACTTTTTGTTTCCCCGGATGAAAAAAAACCCTGAAAGGGAAACATTTTGCTGATGTAGAAGAGGTGAAACAAAAAATGGCATAAGCACTAAAAAGTATCAAAATCGATGAGCAATGAAAAAACATCATCTCAATAGGTGTATTACATCACAGGGAGAGGACTTTGAAGGTGACTGAAGTTTGAGCATGTAAGAATAAATACACAACTTTTTATAAATAAATTCTGAGGTTTTTTGGGTCCCCCTTGTATTATAACAGGCTAGCTCTAAGGTACCATGGAGTGAACTCAAAAGGAGGTTATTTCAAATCCTGAATCTGATACAAGAAGAGAGAGCAGGAGGCTGGGTTCTGCCACTTAAGCGGCAGTCATATGACTCAGACTTTTTTTTTTATTGACAACGTAGGAAGTTAGAAAAATTAATATCATAGCTATTTCTTTTCTAAATACATCAAACAAATAATGACCAATATTTCAATACTACATATTATATGCCAAACTGTTGTGAGTGCTTTACATCCATTAATTCATTTAAGCCTCTCAACAACCTTATACAGTAGGTACTAATATCGAGTCCATTTTAGAGATGGAAAAACACAAGCAAAGAGGAGGTAAAAGACTTGCCCAAGCTCCCAACTTATAAGTAGCAGAGCCAGGATTTGAACCCAGGCAGCAGACTCAAGAGTCTGTGCGCAAACCAACATGCTGTCCCATGGGATGGGTATTCCAGTATTCCAGAGTGGGAAAAAAAGAGAAATTATAGTAGTGTGAATTTAAGTCGCCTTAACTACAGCACCTCCGATCACCAAGTAATCCAGGGTTAATAACCCACTGAGACTATCAAGCACCAATAAATTCTCCCTTATAAATATTACCTCCAAAGAATAGAGTTAAACTATTCATTTAGAGGCGCCCAGAAGGGTCTTAGCAGCCCACTGCAGAGCTGACTTTCATCTGTCAATCCTAACTGCTGTAAATAACGACGGTTTTTAAGAAGTGCCTTTTTAATAAGGTACATCTGTCTCCTGGCAAATTTTAGTTTTGTCAGCTAAACTTCCAAGTAATTTGGCTCTGTTTTACAGCTTAAGGGACCATGTATTTATTACCTGATTCAATTAGTTCATTGTTTTCTTTCTGGAAGATTTGGTCCCGGATATGCACCATCAAATGTGAGCCACAAGATGGAGCTCTAATACAGGAAATGAACGACTGAGATTGGCTCTGGAGTAGATCATGACCATCTCAGACAGGGCACGGTTCTTGCCACCTGATCACTGGACACTCGACTCTTGCAAAGCACTTTTCTCGCGTCCTATGTGACCACACGAGTTTCTGCACACTTACTTTCGGAGGAAATCTTCCAAACCCTGACGACGTTGATCCACGTGCTGGCGATTGTTCATGTTGAAAAACAGGTTTTTAGATGGAAGTTCTGGCAGTTGCCTTATGAGAAAGAAAAAAAAAAATTATGATCATCAAATGAAGGTGGTTCAGTTACAGAAATCAAAAGTAAAAGCAAAGTATGCATGATAATTATCATACAGTGATTATATATTACATTTTTAGCTATATAATAAGGATAAGAGCATATGAACTTAAAGATAACCCCATTTTTAAACATTTTTGAGGACTTTCATGGTCAATGCCCATAAAAGTTGGTGGAATTCAAGTGATAAATTTTCAATTCAGATGCTGTAGACACAAAACTAAAGCTATAATTACAATCAAGAAGAATGCCTATCAAATCCTTCATAATTCATATTTATGTCTATAAATTTATATGTCTATAAATCCTATGCACATCAAATTCTTGAATATTGAATATAATAATAAAATCTCTTCAATATACCCTTTAAGTCACTTACACCAACAGTGCATTACTTTGGAGTCGCTGCCTCAGCCACACAAATTCTCTGTATCTTCTTCGTACGCAAGACGTTTTCATTGTAAAACACATGCTATTGGTCTGTTGAGAAAAAAAAATGTAAGCCTCACATCAGGAAAAAAGTACTCTTTTCTTACTTCTATAGCTCACTATATGCCCCTCCCCAATTTGTTCAAATAGGATTTTTAAAACTAAAAGCACATTTGCATTTAAACCACAGATGAGCAGTGTTGACCTGCGGCGAGCCAGCCATTCCCTGAGTCCCGAAGTAGCCTCCAGATCGCCTACCAGTGCTGCTTTTTAAAGAATTGCAAAAATTAAATCCTGAAGCATAAACGGCCCACCAGAACTCAGGGTCATCCGCTGCATTTTAACACTTTCCATCTGTCTATGTAGCTGGAGAAGCCTTTAAGGACTAGAGACACCTTCTCCTGGCCCTTGATGTGACATCACAGAAGCCATCATGTCCTTGATACGGCCATCACTACAGATGACACAAATCACCGGGAATCACTCTGAAACCAGAGAACAGCATTTCCCTCCTCTCCTCCTTGTGCGAGGGAGCGTGCTCTGAGGTAGAAAGTGCATGCAACGCACAGGGACAAACATCCTGATGGGTGACCCAAGTTCCAGCCCTGGCTCTGCTATGGGGCAAATCACTTGGACGCCAACTTCCTGAAGGATAAAGCGGGAAGAAATAGTGCATACCTATTTCACAGGGTGGCTGCGAGGATTGATAGCAAGCAGCTGGCAAATGTTTACTATTCACATTATTATTAGTTACTAGATGTTGGTTTCCTTCCAGCTACCCTAAGGCACATGTGGGAAAAGCCCCCTACAGAGTTCCCATCCTCAGCAAAATGACAATGCTTCTCCTTTGGGCAAACACTAGACTGGCAAATATGCGTGTTTCTCTGGGTAACACAAGGGATAGTCAAATATTTGTCTATTGATTTTGTAAGATCTCTATTCTCTATATTTATTTCACATTTCTATTTCATACCTTTTAATTACCAGATGAGAAATCTTTTGCCATATTCTACCATTTAATAAGCACCAGCAGTTGCTTTCTTTGAGAAATGTGATTAGTTCTTAAACTGTCCCCAGGAAATGTATGACAGAGTTCCTGGTTACTTCTCAGAGAACTGTGGGTGCAGAGAGGTTAAATGAAGAGGCCTGTCCCCAAAGAAGCCATTGGTCTAAATCCCAACCATCCTGCTGCATGGTGTTTGTGGCCCAATAACACTCTTTCTGTGCGTTTCAAGGCACAGCAGCGCCTCACTCTAACATGACCCCTGGGGACTAGGAGAGCAGGCCATTTAGACCTGGATCAGCGCCGTACGGAGGCCTGGGCAGGCAGGCGTCTTCTCAGAGCTCCCCCTGCAGGGAGCATCAGGCCATTGCGGGTACCGTCGCCTCCGGCACACGCAGGGTGGATTTCAATGCTCTTCCATTTCCCTGCGATTCTCTATTCAGGATCATCATGGACGCCACTAACAGCAGACCCCCAGTCACCAATGCCAGACAAAGCGCTATCTACCTGTAAGTCCTTCATTTGCAAAACAAGTCCAGGAGAGTATATATGATAGACTACCCACCTCTGCAGTCCCCTAGTTTAATATTCCAAGTAAATGATAGGATTTCAGAGTCATCTGATATCATTTCCCTTGAGGTTAATTTAAATGGGTTAAACACCGGCTTCTCTACTTGCAAAGGTCTAAAGGTACAGCATCTAAGTGGGGGCTGACTGTGATCCTCCAATCCTCCACCAATTCTTTATTGTTCAACAGATAGAAGCCGCTTCAGGATCAGGCCACAGAGATCACTAATTTATTAAGTTCCTCTAAATCTATTTGCTTGTTTCTGCTATCAAGCCAAGATTTATTCATTGTCAATTTATTAGCATGTCCAAGAAAAGCCAGACCACCGCCAAATATTGGCGGAACCCATCATTTCTGGTCTGAGCTGGACATTTCTGAATTCATATCAAGCTACTTATGTAGCAGAGAAAAATCTATACTTTCATTAACTCCTGGAGGATAATTAAATTTCCTGCCTACCATAAAGCATGTGATAAGGACCTGCATATTTTTTAGAGGAAGTTAAAAGGCAACTAAAGAATTTCAATTTGTTTCCAAAGGCATAGTCATATATATTTGTTATAATTTTCCACAAAGAATTTATATCTGGTGTGACTTTATGAGTAAAACCAAAACAAAATCAAAGTACAAAGTATATCCTGACACTGGCCTTCAACATAATCATCAATAAAGCAGTTCTGAGTTTTCACTTTGTTTATTTTCTAAGTTGGAGAAACTTGGGGGAATAAAAAGAGGTTTGCTGGCTAGTGATGGCATGTCCAGTCTGCCAACTTAGCTACTTACCCGGGAAGACTCAAGATGGCTACACTATACCCCGCTCGTGCGGTGTAGTCACAGAGAAAACCTGGGCCTGCTGCTATGCTCCCAAGAAAAGTCTAGACTAAATCCGATGGGAAAAGTGACTCCATTCATGATCGGGGCCAGAAAGCTTTAACATGTGAGCCAAATCTGGCCTCCCACTTGTCTTCACAAGTAAAGTTTTATTGGAACACAACTACACTCTTTCATTTATGCCTCGCTTATGGCTGCTTTCACTCTACAAGAGCAGAATTAAGTAGTGCGGAGAAAGACCACGTAGCCCACAGAGCGGAAGACATTTACTATCTGGTCCTATTAAGATTTTATTTATTTATTTTTAGAGAGAGGGGAAGGGAGGGAAAAAGAGAGGGAGAGAAACACCGATCAGTTGCCTCTCCCATGTACCGCAACTGGGGGCCTGGCCTGCAACCCAGGCATGTGCCCTGACCGGGAGTCCAAAAAGTTACCCTTTCCTTTGCGGGATGATGCCAGTCAGGGCTACTACCTGGCCCTTTACAGAAAATGTTTGCTGAGGCTATTCAAGATGATCACAAAAGGCCATACACCAGATGACATTGTTCAAGAGATTATGACAAAGCATTGTTTCCAATTAAAGAACATTATTTCAGCCCTGGCTGGTGTGACTCAGTGGACTGAGCAGCAGCCTACGAACCAAATGGTTGCTGGTTCCATTCCCAGTCAGGGCACAAGCCTGGGTTGCGGGCTGGGTCCCCAGTGGAGGGGCGCGTGAGAGGCAACAACACGTTGATGTTTCTCGCCCTCTTTCTCCCTTCCTCCACTCTAAAAATAAATAAATAAAAGTCTTTAAAACAAAAAAGAACATTAGTCCTAGTTATTTACTTGTGTTAATTACTCAGAATCTAGATTAAAGCAAAATATTTACACATATTCAGGTCCTACTTTCTTTTCTTTTTTAAAAATTTTTTACTGTTATTCAACAGTTCCTGCTTTCTTATTCTACATATAAATCACTACACCTCTTTTCCAGAGAACTCTACATCCTCTCAAAACAGAAGACATCAAGCAATATATTTATCTCCCGGAAATACGCTGTAACAGATCATAAATACCATGAGGTATATTCTTTAACCATGAATTTTATATGCATTCGCATCTTCATGAAGGCAATAAACATTAAAATATTAACACTAAAAGATACAATAAGGAATTCGAATTAGAAATTTTCAACTTTAGGGACCATCTTACTATTTCAAGATATGAGCATTAGCTGTAATCATTAAAATTCAGTTCTTTGAATTAGGATAACTTCACAAATTTCAATTGTAAGTGTATCATACTATCCCATCAAGCATATGCTACTAAAAATTACTATGATTTCTATGGACTATTGACTGCACACTTACATGAATACATATCTCATAGTCGATATAAGAGTGCCAGAAGTCCTCCTTCTGAATCCTAGGGTCTCGAACCCAGACACTTACGAATTCCTGTAAGGGCATCATAAACAGAGCTGTATTTCAGGATGGCAGTAGGGCTGGCAAGAGATGAGAGAAACGACTGTACTAGAACAAAACGGAAATGAACTTTAACCAAGGCAGTTATGGTTCTTTAAAAAACAAGAAGTTAATGAATTGAGCTCCATAGGAAGTACCCCCACCCCCGGGGAAGAAAAAAAAAAAAACATTTGTCACAAAATGGAATTTTTAAAATGAGGCAAAACCAAGCTTGTTGCACTGCTGGAGAGTTTTACATGTTATATGAGGATAATAAGAAAGTAATCATGAAAAATAGGATCACGTTTTTCTCAAGTTGTATTAAGTGGCCATTTCTTACTTTCTTCATCTCTCTAAATGAAACCTACAGGCCCCACCTGATACATCACCCTCTAGAACTCAAATGAGAAAGAGTAGCAAAGGTCATGTGAAAAGCCAGCAATGAGAGTTTACAATGGCTTTGTGCATGCCCCCAGCCTCATGAGGAAAAACTTAGTTTAAAAATATGATAACATGGCCCTGCCAGTGGGGCTCAGTGGACTGAGCACCAGCCTGTGAACCAGAAAGTCACCAGGGCCCAATCCCAGGTCAGGGTGCGTGCCTGGGTTGTGGGTCAGGTCCCCAGTTAGGGGTTTGCAAGAGGCAACCCATCGATGTTTCTCTCCCTCTCTCCCTCCCTCCCTTCCCCGCTCTCTAAAAGTAAATAAATAAAATCTTTAAAATAAATATGACAATATGTATAACAAAAAAATGTATTGTTTGGATAGATAAATTTTAAAGTATAATTTATTCACTTGGTGATTATAAATTTGTTAACTGAATTTAATTTTCAATATTTTAGCTTTTGGGTTTAAAAAAGAGGGGCTTCAAGGCTGAATCTCTCTTTAGCCATTTCTTACAGCTTTGCTTTGGCACATGTGAGAGACGGGCTATAAACACCCTAGAGCAGAAGCAAAAGAAAGATTGTGGGGGGTTTCTGGACAGAGCACCTCCATTCTATTATGCAGATAATAAAATAATAATGTTCAGTACAATTTTATTTTTTTAATTTTAATTCTTTTTATTGACTTGAGAGAGAAAGAGAGAAACATTGGTTTGTTGTTCCACTTATTTATGCATTCCTTGGTTGCCTCTTGTATGCGCCCTGACCAGGGATTGAACCCACAACCTTGGCATATTGGGACAATGCTCCAACCAACTGAGCCACCTGGCCAGGGGAGTACAAAGGATTTTTAAAAGGAGAGAAATAGTCCAAACTCCCTGAAAATAACTTTTGCCATCTATCAAGTTCCACCTTCTAAGACAACGTGAGCTTTGTTCTTGCCATTGAGACCTCTGCACCACTGCTTGTCCTTAGTAGATAAGGATTGTGAGTTAATGTTCCAAAGAATCTTATTTTAAAATCTTTTACTTATGTACTTTTTAATTTTTTTATTGATTTTATAAAGAGAGTAAGGGAGGGACGGAGCGGAGGAGGGAAGGGGAAAGAGATTTGTTGTTCCACTTATTTATGCATTCATTGGTTGATTCTTGTAGGTGCCCTGACTGGGGATCAAACCCACAACTTTGGCATGTCAGGATGACGCTCTAACCAACTGAGCTACGCAGCCAGGGCTCATTATGTATTTTTAATGCCATTTTGAAGACCGAGAGGCAATAAAAATAAGGTAACAATATAGTGATACTCACTGTTTTGGCTATTATTAGAAAAGCACATTCTAAATTATAAGAGGCACTATAAAAACAATTGTTAAAGCAAAGTAATTGTAATAGCCCCACATTCTCTATAGTGTGTGTAGGTCAGGGAGAAAGTGCATCCTGCCCAGAGATGGAAACTGACACGAAACCCAGGCAGCCTGCCCTTGGTCTGTCCACATTTCCCCTCATCTCCTGTCAGCGTGTGTGCAACTCATTTTCCTGGGGTGCTCTTTGCACATCCGCAGTTCTTAGAAGGAATGAATCAGTCATCAATGAATCCGCAAACAGAAGGGCAAACGGATCAGGGCTAGGAGTGAAGACCCGAGCCAGAGTGGGCCGCCCTGCCCGCCCACACACTCCCCCCGCGCTCCGGGCCGCACTCCGGGCCGCCCCGCCTGCTATTGCCCCCGTGTGCCTTCCTCCAAAACACAACACTCAAAAATCATCCTTTATGACTTTATTGGCACAAAGACGAATATATTGCTATTATATATTAAAACCTTTTCCTGGCCCTGAAAGATCATTTTACTTTTCTGATTAAAGTGAAAACATTTTCATGGTTCTGGGCACTGTGCCTAAAGACGAGGTCAGCGGAGCCTACGCTCTGGGCAAGGCAGAAAGTTGCCGGCAGCTGACAAGGTTATCCAGCCGCACTTGGAGCCAGAGGCTCCTAGTCATCAAGTCACATGAAAGCCACACTCCCTCACAGGGTACTGGCAGCTCTGATTTTCCGCTGGAGAAGCAGAAGTCCTTAAATATACCAAAAGAGAAATTAAGTATTTCCAACAGCTCAATGTTCCATATTAACAGAAGATATGCACCTGTTACTGAAATAAGATGGCCTTCACACAGATTAAACAAAAACAAAAGACAGAAAAACACATTGTCAATTCGCTACAAAGTTGTGATTTTTAAAAAAAATGTTTCTGAACTTAAGCTATAAAATCCAAAGTACCACATAACCCCGAAACACTCAACATATTATTAATCGATGATGAACAATGACAAACCATTCTGGAAAAAATCAGGGCTTTTGTCCCCCTATTTGTTTGCTATTGTTCAATTGTTAACATATAAGCTTTGAGGAACATGTCCCTTTTCATGGAAAGAACACTGAAATTATGGTCACAAGACTAGGGGAAAATTCTGTCACCCGCTTCCTAAATTACGGATTTACTCACGGAGCCTCTGCTTCCACGTCTGGGAACAATGCCTGTCCAACCTACCTCGGCTGTTTATTAGGAGAATCAAACTATAAAAGATGGTGAAAACGCTAGGAAACTTCTCATTAGATGCTACACGAATATGAAGTATTATTACACTTTTCTATGTAAAGTATTATCACATGCAAAGCAAAATGCTCATGAACCCAAAGCACAGAGGTCTTCATACAAAACATTGGCAATCCAGCAATTAAGAAAAGCTTAGCCAACTGTATATGTTTTTTCTTAAAGATTTTATTTATTTATTTATTTATTTATTTATTTATTTATTTATGTAGATGGGAAGGCAGGGAGGGAGAGAAACATGGATGTGAGAAACATCAATTGGCTGCCTCTCATTCATGCCCCAACCAGTGACGGAACCTGCAACCCAGGCAAGTGTCCTGACTGGGAATCAAACTCGCAACCTTTCGCTTTGCGGGACACGACACTCAGCCAACTGAGCCATGTTGGTCAGGGCTATACGTTTTGTTTTTGGCTTTTTAAGGTAAAAATTATTAAGGACCCAGTAGCAAACACTCTTAAGACTGATTTTTCAGCAAAAGGCTGAGTGACTTAAAGATTTCACAGTGCTGACTCAGAGCAAGCCCTTCAGAATATTTGTAAAAGGAATGATCAGCATAGTGACAAATTTGTCAAGTTCTTTTCTCCATCTCAATGGGTTGGAATTCTCAGACTCTACCATTATTACTACTTAGTAAGTGTAATCTTTAATCTTTTTGGAGGAGAGTATGTTGAATACATATTCTAAAACCATGCTGGTGAAAAAAATGACTTCTAAGAATACAGCAATGCACTTTTAATGCATGCTCAAAGGTAACTGTGGTGCTAAGACTCCGAATATTTTTTCAGTCCTGAAAATCTTCCACTTGGTTAGAGCGCTGAGTATCACTCTTCTTTTGTGGAGGGCGAACTACCTTCCTCCTTGTTCTCTTAAATGTTGCTGTGGTCCTGAGAGCCATCCCAGGATGCTGTGCTTCACCCCCTGTTGTCATCCCAGGGTGACCTTATCCAAACATGGGTTCCAGCACCCAGCATGAGCTGATGATTCCACCTCCAGCCCAGGCCAGGCCTCTCGCCACATATCCAGCCTCTTGCCTGGATGGCCTGGCTTGGGGGTCTCCCCCTTCCCACATCACCCTGTCCCCCATCTCACCCCCAGAAACCCCAGCTAGAAACCCAGTTACCCCAGACTTCTCGCTTTAAATCACCTCCCCAAGTCTTCCAGGTCCACCCTCCTTTGAACCCACACCCTATTCCCTGTGCTGCTACTTTGGTTCAAGGACCGCTTGCCTAACATTACTGCAAGGGCTGCTAAATGATGCCCGGGCCTGTACCCAGCTCATCCCAACACTAAGACAAGATTGGCTCCAAGGCTCACGTCTGATGATGACATTTACCTGCTAAAAGTCCTTCAAAACCTGCCCCATAACCTTCCAGGTCAAGTTCAAACTCCTAAGCCAGCACAATAGAGCCTTTCATGGTTTCACTCCGCTTATCTCCAAAGACTAAGCTTCCGTCCACATACCCAACAGGCAACTTCCCATCGGCAGGCCTTCGGACAAGCTGTTCTCTCTGCCTGGACAGCTGTCCCCACCCTACTTTCTGCGTTTTTTCTTCTTCGTTGTCTTTTCTTTTCTGCTAACTCTAATTCTTTTTTCAAAATGCAACTCAGTTTCAGAAAATCTTCAGCTTCATCCAGTGTATTTACAGATTTGACCCTCCTTGGAACCCTCTCTGGGCAGACTTTGGGCACCCACCCTGCTCGCCACACCTTACTGTACAGTAATTGCCCATAGGTCTCCTCTATCAGATGCTACACTGCTGCAGGGTAGCTTGTTTCTCTTGCATGTCTTGAACGCCTGGCACATCCAATGTATTCTTTTAATCGCACTTAATGAATAAATAAATGCCTGCAGGAATGAATGAATGAATGAACTGCCTGCGGGGGGGGGGGGGAAAGCCCAAGATCAAACTTCAATTGAAATAAAAACCTCATCCACATGGGCTCTTGGACTCCATGAATTAGTGATAGCTGTTCTAAAGTTCTACAGGAATTAGTAGCTGGTCTAAAGTTTATCTTAATTTAACAAACCCCTTCCTCAAAGGATGTGCCAATT